CTGTGCTTCAGCAAATGCGACCCAATCAGCCAGCGCTGCCTCCTTATGGGCCCGGACATTTACAACCGCCTGCAAGGTAGGATCATCAGTGGCAGCAGGTTCCGAAGTAGTCTGCGGGACATCGTTGGCAGGACTATCTCGGGCTATCGGGGGACTAATGGGTACAACAACTGCGGGCGGAGTAGTATCCGATTGGCTGGCATGGGTGGTTTCAGGAACGTCAGGAGGAGCGGGTGGGCGGGATTGCAATACCGGACATGCATTTAGTATGTGCCCTTTGAGTCCTCCCCACTTCCGAAAAGCACGCTTGCAATGACGGCATTGGGGCACGCCCCCGAGGCTGTGCTTCCTAGGGTCTATGTTGCGTCCAGCGTCCGTGGTGAGCTGGGTAGTAAAGATCATGGCATGCCTCTGTGTGGCGTGCGCACGCATTGCATGCTGATCGTTAAAGTAAATCCCACATACCGGACAGGGGACACCATCGGTCCTGGTACCGTCTGGCGTTACCTTCGCCAGCGAAGTCTGAGTAAGCTGAATGCACTCTGTAAGATCGTGTAGTTTTTGATGCAACCAAGCTGTGACAGTGTGCCTGCCGGGGTAGAGAAAGGGCTTCTCACAGGACTCCAGGCTGTTGGTGGCCCTAGACTTCAAAGCCTCATGCAGGGTGGGGATCTGGAGACGCTGATACAAGTCCTGCGTAAGCTCCAAAGTCATGTGCACCGGTGACCTGGCAAGCCTGCGGACGTGCTTGGCTTCAAATCGCTGCAAAACGCTGAGGCTTTTCGAGGTGGTGCCTACAGAAGTGATACCATACAGGAGCGAGGAGCGCACACACGTCAAAAAGAGTCTCAAGCGCACTCGCAGACTGATACCGTGCTGTGTGAAGAGATGTTTAGCTAATCTAGCAACGTTGGCCTGAGCAGAGCGAACACGATGCTCAGCAGTCTGGTCCTCATACGCACCATAGGAGACAACGGCTCCGAGGTATGTGAGACTGTCGCACAGCGGCAAGAACAATGCAGTGAAGGGCGTTCGGATGATCAAGCATTTCGCGCCTTTGTGCGTGACAGTCCTAGCACGCAGCCACTTCTTCATTGGTACGCCAACAGCTTTGATGTGCAGCTTAGATTTCTCCGGATTTGCAGTCATATTAGCCTCCTCAAGAGTTTCAAAAAGCGCACGTACATGCATGGTCAAGGCGTGCACATCCTGCATGTCATGCAAAATGAACTTGGCAAGAAAATCGTCTGCGAAAAGAATCAAGCTTTCTCTGGCTTCGCGGCCGGCCTTTAATTCGAATCTGTGCATCATGTAGTGCGTAAGGCAAACCCATAGCAATGGGGACAAAGTACATCCTTGTCGGATACCATTACATATGTTAAAGTTGGAGGCCTGTTGCCCATGTTGCACATGATACTTGGCACGGTGTATGGAAAGGATGATGAGTGCAATGGTATCTGGCTCAACGCCAAGAAAGCGTAACGCATCGTTCAGGTACTGATGACCAACTCGATCAAATGCAAGACTGAGGTCCACTGACAGCATCGCAGCTCCCATGATACTAGTTTTACGACCCTTCTTACGATCGCCCACTTCGATGCGTGAAGTCATCAGGTGTGTCCGGGCTTCATGACAGTGTTGAGCTACTAGGGCCAGCGCAGTCTGCGTGCTCCTCCCTGGCAAGTACGCGTATTGCGCAGTGCCCTCAAGCTCTGGCAGGATTTTATCGAGCAAACGGCGTTGAACTATCCTTGCGAGGCACTTACCCAAAGGACATTGCAGCGCAATGGGACGTAAGCTTGAGGGGAGTTTGGCAGGCTTAGAAGGTTTGGGCAGCAAGAACAAGTGACAGTCACGCCATGTAGAGGGCAGCTGAAGNNTCTCGAATCCTCGGGAGTAGCTCCGGCATGCAAAGCTTCCAGACTTCCGTGGGGACTGAGCCGGTTGGGACTGCTTTACCGGACGATTGCGCCTGGAAGGAATCCACGATTTCTTCATCACGAATACTCCATGGTGTCTGCAGCGCAAGTGCGTCCGAGGCAGTGCATGTGTCTCTGCAAAACACCTCTTTGAAATACTGAAGGATGGCTTGAAGTTCATCAGCCTCGCTGAGGATGCGGCCATCTGGACTACGAATTTGCACTCTCTCTTTAGGGGATTTGGGGGCAAGACGACGAACCTCTTGAAATAATTTGTACATGTCACCCGCCCTGGCCGCAGCTTCAGCTCTGTGCAGTGAGGTGAGGACAAGCTGCTTGCGACGCTCAAGACCTCTCTTACGCAAAGTTCGCTGACAAACCTGCAAACGAGTGTGGGCCCTAAAAACACGAAAAACCTGTGCAAGTCTGGAGCGTGCACCCACTGCAATGTGTTCACGCCTGATGGCTTTCAGTGCTTGGTGACAGCGCCAAAGCTCTTTGACATCATGTTGGGAATCCGGCTGTTGCCAGGGCCTAGGGTCC